AAAGCTCCACAGAACAGCTACCATTGAGCTGAGGGTCCATTGTTCCACACTTAAGTCCTTTAATTCGTATCTTACCTTGTGTTTATTAATGCACAGATGATTTCTTCTTTTTTGATAATGAGAATTCCAAATATAGCAGGAAATGTCGAATTGGGTTTGTTGGTATTTTTACTTTATTGTACTTAATCACTAATAGGTATTTTTAATAAAAAAAAAACCTTTTTATGTGTATTATTATTATATAGTTTCTTTGAATGTTATAAATATGAAAATATAGAGGTAATTCCGTGGATTAGCCCCTAGTCGTATTATAGCTTAAAACCGTCCTCTAGAAATAAGCTATCAAATTCAAGTAGAATTTATCAAATGTGACTGGTATTCTAGAGATAAACGCGTTCAAACATGCAAACAGACTCTTCTGTCTTATTATAGTAATATAATACCCGTACTCGGCATTTATCCCGCGCGTCCCATTCGTAAACAAGTTGAATTTCACAGATATTGTCTGTGTTGAATTTAATACAGCCTCGCCATTTCCTTTCGCAAATCTAGTTACTTCGAGTCCGGTGGCCGAAGTTGCGAAACAACGAAATATGATTTAGATGGGCATATTCATAAAGTTAGTGATACGAATGAGGAGCTATAAGGAAGTTAGACTCGCATTCTTATGGACAAACTTTGTGTTTGGTTGGTTACGGGGCCATGCATCCGCAAAGAAATGTTATTATACCAATATCATTTATTCCATATCTATATTTGTACTTATTTTAGTAGTAAATGTACTGTCTAATAAAGTCTGGCCTCACGTTTGACTGCCAAAGAACGCCACTAGGTATTAAGTCCGTCATATGTACATACATACTTATATAATTGTGCATTGAAGTTAAAATAAATAAATATTCCATAACCACAAACATTTCATGAATATATATTTAAAATTGATCGTTGACAATTTAAATTTAGAATGTATGTTACTGTATGAGTGTCCTCTGAATAAATTCTTTCTCTCTTTCTAAAACTAAAGGTTGCATCGATTATTGATTTAATTTTTCACTCGAATAACTAGTACGAAAACAAAATTCTTTTATTCCTTTTTGAATATTCTTAAGATGATAATTTTCTTAAGATGGCCGTTGTCTTGGCAATATACTAAGTGATGTAATGATAATCTCCTAAGTTTAATATTAAATATGTAATTTATTATGTTCTAACATTGTTTACTTGTAGGCAATGCGTAAGTTAGTACCTATTCGTGTATTCAGAACTTGTAGAGAATTCTAACTTTATAACGACTTGGACCATAGCTTGACGTGATTCTACGTGGCCTGTGATTTGTACCCTTTATGCTGCGTATAACTTTATTGTCTACGAATTCTGTTAAGTCATTTATATCAAAATTTTAATATCTTAAAACTTTTAAAAAGTTACAATCGTGACACAATTCGATACTCGGGTCCTCTATTTAACAAGCAAATAAAAATAGCAGTAGTATAACAAAGAAATCTTACTGAAGGCTTATTCTTGTCACAAAAGAAATCTAAAGTTCACGACATCTTTCTTACTTTCATTGTACGTGACTTCAATACAATCTGCTCTACTGAACAACTCGGTAATTGCTGCGCCTAAATTGAACCAACTTATTCAGTAATTTTGCTTTAAATGTAACATAATAATTAGGTAGGATCTAATACTATTTATTTTAAGATATATTAAATATCGCCGTGTGTCCCGGCATAAATTGGGCCACCCCTTCCTTTCCCGTGGATGTCATAAGAATCAACTAAGGGAGGGCGAAAGATGGGCAGCAGCGTCTTAAAACATCTCTAAAAGCCTAACTGCCAACCTGTCTGCCAAGCGTGGCAACTACTGTCAAACTTCCTCTTATGCGAAAGACTTATATTCAGCAGTGGAAAGTTAACAGCTGAAATAATAATAATAACGTTAAATATTTATATATTTTTGGTTGTCAATATTTAATTACATACAGATATCCCCTATGAGGCTAGCATAACCGACCAGGTAAACAAAAAAAAAGTAAAAAACAAAATTTATAAGTGAATTGTAACTTCACCCACTTTTGTCTTCAAACTTTAAAATATTTGGATGATAAAATATGACGTGCTTCCCCAGAATGCCCAATCTAATTAAATTCATCAAGTGATATTTTAGTTCAAATTGGATTACCCAATCTGACAAGTTGTCCATGGTTCGTCTACAACCTCGAGCGGAGGGGGCCTTCCCCCTGTAAAAATGTTAAACATGTTTTTAGCCTTGTTCATTTTTATTTTAAGACCTATCTGATGAAAAAATCTGGATCATAGTGTTGATTGTCGTCTATCAGAGATGCCGCCATGATTATTATACCTATCATTCGGTATATCGAAGCTGAGTGATGAGTTCGCTATCTAGGTTTTATTAGTGTTTCATTTCCAGTCCAGAAATTTAAAAAACATTCTTAAATATAGCTGTAAGTAGGAATGTACGTCATCTTCTCTTGCACCTTTTTGCATTATTTATGTGTAGTTAGTCTAAGATTTTCTCTTCTGATCTAAATAAATACGAAATGTATTAAAAATCTATTGTTATAGAAATAAAACAAATCACGTATAAACAAGCATCCATCAGTCACGATGACACTACAAATCTCTAACACAAGGCATACATCACGTACATCGAAATTAATTCGATTAAGTCGGTAGAAGTGCATGGAGCTGCCGATACTTCGATTAATTGAATAGATCTATAAGTATATTTATAGGTAGTTCAACGTAAGAAATATAGGATATTCCTCTGTAATTTATACATTTAAATAAATAAATTTAAAACTATTTTGTTAACTAGTGAACATACCTTGAAATAGATATTACAAATACAACATTGTTGTACTACTTATTTATTATTTTGGTTTACAAATAACTTTTAGATTCTAACTCGCAACACAGAATAACACTCTTAATATCTCGATGATGGCAAATAAGCTAATGGCCCGCCTCATGGAAAGTGATAACGTCTCCTATAAACATAAACAGCACTACGGGCATTACAGCATAAAAACACTGTGACTATATTTACTGGCTGGATTTGGATTAACTTTGATAAAGAAATAATTCAAGGTTTAATTATGATCGATTCTAATTTAAAAAAAAAACAAAGTTGGGAATATTTTCTATTAATTGTTTGCTGCGGTTTTTTCTCTACGAATACCTATATATTCGAGTATTCTGACACTTACCTATGATTGACTGAGAGAGAATGCTTTTAGCATTATGTTCGCCATGTACACATATTTGTACTAATGAATAAATAAATAAAAAAAATATATAAAGTAAACTACGTAATATGTAATTTAAGTGTGATTAAATGACAAATATTTTACCAACTTTTACATTTATAGGTTTATTAGCTATCAATAAATAATATTCCAAATAGATACCCGGAAAATCTGGGTATTATTATATCAGCCTTTAACTGTCCACTGCTAAACATAGGCCTCCCCCTTAACAAAGGTTTTGCCAGTAGTTGCCATGCTTGATAGGTTGGCATCCTCAGTTAGACTTTCGTGATATTTTAATAGGGACCCTACTGGCTGCCCATCCCCCGCCCATTAAGTTCCCTTAGTTACCTCTTATGACACCCACGCGAAAAGAAGAGATGGCCCATTCTATGCCAGGACCACACAGCATAATATACACGATAATATCTAGATAATATAATAGTTATTACGGCTTGACTGTGGCCCACAGATCCAGAGATCCCAGCCCAAACCTCGTGTGTTCAAATTCATATTTGGCATCCAAGGATATTGGCATAGAATCACTCCATGAAGCTCATACTTGGAGGACACTGAAGGTTGTCATCCGAGAAATCGTGTCAGAAGCCTTCATGCACAATCAATATAGATTAGAAACTCACGCTATCTTCGTTCGATTAATAGTTGGTTGCAGTAATTGGTTTAATTCAAATTCAATTTATGCTTTTGAAGTGTGTAATACTGTCTTTAGCCTACGGTAACAATTATTTTCAGTTTTCTATAGACATAAAAAGTGCCTTTTTTTAAAACATTTTTTAATTAAAACTTTATTTCATATTAATTTTAACTTTTACTGTTCTATAATTTGTATTCATACTTTTATTTACAATGTATAAAATTAGAGTTTTTAAAAAAAAGGACAGTTGAGTTTTGCCTATACTTCTTAGCTGAAATTGTATTTCAAGTGGACAATAGAGTTATAAAAATATTACTATTCAAAAATTTAAGTATACCTAAATAAAAATATTTCTTCCTTTCTAGCTTTCTTTTTTCTTACCCTTCTGTCGGTAAAAAGTATATACCATACTTGAAGTAGTTGCTTTTATAGAATCACCAAAATGTAACTAAAAAAGTCCGACTAGTCTATAGGTCTGTTGTAATCTTATTGTTGGTAAAATATCATTTATTTGATGTGGTGACGCGATATTTTCTTCCATTCGAATGCTTTTTTTCTTAGTCGTCACTATTATTTAGTAATTCGGAAAATGGACAACATAATACAATATTACGTTACGGAGCTTAAGTAAAAGAAAGTGGTTTTCCGCATGAAAGGAACGAAATAAGAAAATGCAAACTTCGACTATACCTACTGCCTATATTATATTATTTCGCATTTAAGTAAATTCTTTATATTTTAAGCTCTGTTTATTGATCAAAGAAGTAAGCTTCTTACTGATACAATATTTTTAAAATTGTAGCTAGACGACGACAACGACATGAGAGATATTCGTACTTAAGAAAATTTATATACACGTATATATACATATATATGGGTCTAACATAAAAACTGATATATATTTTATCATCTATTTCATTGAATTTTCTACTAAAACCCACGCATTTGAAGTAACAGACAAAAACTTGTAAAAAGTGAGTATACATACAATGAGGTATTAAATAGCAAAATAAAAAATTCTATCGACAAGTTATACGATCATTTTGAATAAGTCAATAACGTTTTATAAAACGTACAGATATTTTTTCAATTTTCTAAAATCAAACGACAGTATTAAACATTTTCGGAAAGTCGAATACATACACCTTACAAATTAGTAGACCAACAACAACATAAATTATTTATAGGTAAGGTTATTTGAAAGCACTTCCTTTTAATTACACTCTGACCATCAAATTCGTTTTGTAGGTACACATAAAGGGGCTTTAACTTTGTAGAGAACTATAAAGCGACCATTAGTTGATTGGCGTCGCAGTCAATCTATTGATTATAAGGGCAGAAATTATAATTATTCTAGCGTTAATAATATCGATTGTGAATTACTTTCGTCATCGTTAAATGTTAAATAGATAAGTATTATACTATACAATTCTAAAAAATATATTTAGTCAAATAAAACCTATAGTAACCCAGTAAAATGTTTGTCAATACCGTCCATTCGCATTACAATTTCCAACTACATTATCGTAATACAGTTTCACTTAGAGTTCTTCGCTCAGAAGTTTATCGGGAAAAAATTCTCTTTTCAATTCATCCCAAAACTTCATTCTTTTACGCTCTGGCACGCTGATCATTTTAAGTTTTTGGCTCAGATTCAATGCTCTCATTGTCCTGTCTGCTAGCAACGGAGTCCACTGTAAGTCACCTAGAATATTATCATTGAGCTTTGGCGTAGGATTCCTGTAATATTTAAAAGACATGGTTTATAAAAGACAGAAATTAATGCGATCATTTAGGTAGACTATAATAATTCAGATAAATTATCATAATTTACCTAAATTATCACATCAATTCACGTCTTTTATAAACCATAAAATATGCAGCGCAAAAGTCTAAAGTTAATATTTAAATGATATAGTCAATCAAAAATGAAACAAAAATATAATTGTATTTTTGAATAAATAGTTGAAAGGCAATATAAGCAATATTAACGTAATTTAACATTCACTGTTCCCGTAAAACAAATCTGAATCAACATTCCAAATATTTAAGTATCATTACCCTTACCCGCATTTAGCAAAATTTGCCAATAACCTTGCAATTTTCTTAATGAAGTGCCTTTCATTTGACATTCGCGAGCTATTGTAAATGTCGTTTACTGATTTGCATTTGAATAGGTAACAGATTTCGTCTCCAGCCGTCGCACCAGGCCAATCCAAATTTCGTACATAAGAATTCCAAGCAGTATTGAGGGAGCCTTTAAATGAAAATCTGTACAAGTAAACGTTATTGCGCGATACCTCCGCGTGTAGTCTCGCTTGACGGAGCAATGGATAGATGACTTGATCTGAAACATATTTTGCATATCGTCTTAAGCTCCGTTCGCCGATCGTACCATTAACGAAATAAAACTCCATTATTCTCTCCTTTATTTTTTTATATCGCTTCGAACCATATTCGTCCTTTTTTCCTTCGAATGGCAATAAATATTGGAAATTATAATTTAAATACTTCAAAAGTTTTTTGTCCATTACAAATCCTCGTAATTTGTAAAGGGAATCCAAACTGGTGTATCCCATCATTACTTCGACATTGTTATTTGTGAATTTTCTTTTATATACATCTAAAGGAGACCTATTCATAAAAGCCCGCTTTGAAGTCTCAATCGTGGGCCCAAAAGTATTGATCAATCTTTGATTATTTCTCACTTCCGTTCCATCAAAAATATCTTGTGATGCCGATAGCAAACTGTTTACGGAAGCATTTATGAGTATTTCATAAAGTCTTGTTCTATTTAGTTTTTTAAAAGGACCTTTTAAGTTCCAGTATAATTTATTCATAATATCAAAATTACAATTTCTGTAATCAGCAGGGGATAGAGCCGATCCACTTTGAATAACTACTCTTGTGAATAGATCTTCAGCAACACTTGTCACCAAAAGGGATGCAACCAAAACAGCTGCTTTACCTGATCCAATAACAGTCATTCTGGTAGAGTCCCCCTTGAAATAATTTATATTATTCTTTAACCATTTGAGTGCGCACAAAATATCCTTTGCTCCCATGTTACCTTCAGCGAAATCGTCATCTGTATTTAAGAATCCAAATATTGAAGTTCTATATGAAATAATTACCACAATCACATCTTCATCAATGAAAAAATCAGGTTTATGGTATTTAGACTGTTCATGAAGCCATATAATAACTGGAAAATTAAACCCTATTTTATTTGTATGAGGACAGTATATTGAAAGATATAAACAATCTTCATAATATTTATGTGGACGCGTTTCATTATAATAAAAAGGCTCATTCTTAATATTAATCCAAGATTGGAACTCTTTTGGTGGCTGAAAATAAACAAATTATACTCTTGTTATTATAATACTAAAATATTCTAATACTTTCATAAATAAATATATATAATAGTAATAATAATAATTTTTATTTTTCCACGACAACCACATTACAATTCAATTGGCATATATGGCACCAGAGGGAGACTTTGTACAAAAGTCGTTTGCTTGGGCACCTTTGTCCCATTCGTGTTTCAACCGTGAAGCAGTTGTATTTGCATGGGAGGTGGTACAGAGGAATAATACCTGAATCCTCAGGAATGGCAACGCATGGGGGGTATTATGGGCGAAACAGTATACTCAATTATGTCGATGGTACTGCTCATATCTATTGGTTACCACTTTCCATCAGATAGGTCGTCAGCTTGTTTGCCATTCTAAGTTGCATAAAGCAAATACTGTTATAAATTAAATCTGTCCTTCCTCAGTTCTAGATCCAAAGAAAGACCGAAAACAAGTTGAACAAGATGTAATTAAAAAAGTCCTCCGTTCCTGTAATGTTTCCGACGCGACGTATCTAATCGTATGAAGTGGAAAGAAAATAAGGAAAGCAGACCTCGTTATAAGAAACTGCACAGTAAGTGCACACTCACACATAAAAAGCAAATACTGAAATCAATGTTACTGACATTGTGGAAAACGATAATAGTCCAGATATGAGCAATAGCAAAGACATCACCGAGTGTAAACCTACTCGAACTATAATTTGTGGTATTGATTTGCAATGTTCATGTCTTTCATTTCATGCCACTTTCATATTATTGTTTACCCTAGCTATTACGAGACCCTTTATACCAATATATAAAACTAAGTACATACGAGGTATAGCTCAGTAAATTTGGTAGAAATAAAATGTATGAACACCTATCGTTTTTTATTCAACTGAGAAATAATATAGTGGTCCACCTTATAGAAAGCATTAAGTGGTTGCCACCTATAGGCAACAGCAAAGACATAACAGACGTAACAGATGTAATGAAAACCATCACAAAAAATTCCGTTTAAATTAAAATAGACAATAAAATCTTTGGTATCAGCCAGATTTGAATCTACAACCAACCAATTCCTATAAGACAGGTAAACATGATACTATAGAAAACAAAATATATACCTTAAATCTTAATTCGTGTAGGGGAGGTACAGCATAAGGAATATCAAAAAATGCCACATAAGGTTTATTTTCGAATATCGTATAAAACTTTTTACCAATTATTGTGTTATTGTTTATTTGGATATGTATCTCATCATTGGCACTTGATGAAAAACTAACATACACAAAAAAAACTAATAACACACAACAAATATACATAACAAACTAGATATACTTATTATAGCTATACGCTCTCTGTATATTAAAAAAAATTAAATGTTAAAGAATTAACTTTGAGTATACGTGTTACAGACACGTCATTATTAATAACATATTTAAATACCGTAAGAATGTTTTCAAAATAAAACCACTGTGATGAATTAAAAAAGAAAACTATATTAAGATTTTTATCAAAATTCACTTGTTCATTTTTTCTTTTAATTTTATATTTTCGCGTGAGTTATGCCGTCGAATTGAATGTTTCCTTTTTTAAATCTGTTGACAATAACATTTCAGATTGTATCTTCGAAGCGCTTACTTTAATATATACTAACGATCGTCTTCGTCTTTACACTGGTGTAAAAAATTCCGTAAAAATATCTAAATTGCAAACAAACGCGTAAATAATAAAAAATATTATGAATTTGTCTAAATCTAGTAGAAAACATAAGCAAATAAACTGTTGGATTTATCACATTTTAATACTATTATATAATAAAATTTATGGGCATGTATCTTTACATATTATATATATTTTTAAATTTTTTAAATGGGTACCAGCGCTATCGATATACGCTGGCGGGGCACCAGTGAGAGATAATAGGTAAGAATAAAAGCAGATCACTTGTCATTAACACAATAATTTGTAGAGGGATCCGAGTGGAGGTCGACCTGATAAGGTGTATTGATAGCAATGAGGCTATTAGACTCCATTACTAACAATCCCTTTCCCCTACTACCGTATTGTTAAGAGATGGTTGTCGGCGAGTGGGACCATTTTTTTAATATAAGCTAATAAATATGAAATACTTCATTATGATATATCTGCGGCATTTAATATAATGTCCACCTGTAAAGTTTGGATTAGGAAGCATTGTTTAAAAAATATAACGTTTAAACTTTACAAATTTTATTTTTATAAGTATGGCATTACTGGTGCCCTCTCTTGCTGTGTTAAAAAGTAAATGTTGCCAAGATGGCACCTTTTTTGTCGGTACCCATATGCAGTCCATACATTTACACATAAAGAATAAATAATCTAGTCAATTGACAAAATATCCTAACGTGAGTTGATATAAACATGAATCAAAGACGCCCGTTATATCTATAACGATGTGTTTTATGGCGGCCAGATTAATTCTGATAGCCGATATCACGTTACGGCCCAGTTATAGTCAGCAATTGCAATAACACGTACGTAAATTAATATGCGTAATGTTTATTCATAAAATCGTTATTATTTTAACGACGTCTGTGTTTATTGTCTATGGTGAAGTACCAGAGGTAGTAACTACACATGGAAAAGTCCAAGGAAAAGTTTTAACGACTCTGATAGAGAACGTCCAATATTTAGGATTTATGGGTATACCTTATGCTGCTCCGCCAGTAAACAACTTACGATTTTTGGTAAATATATTTTTGCTATCTTGCAAGAAAAATGCTAAATATATGTATTACATTGACCGACGAAATTAAGAGAATCTATGGATTTAATATATGTACTATTATATATTTACTCTAAATCTTGCTCTAAATTAAAAATTATTAAACTTTATTCAAACATAACAGTATAGACGAATAATGTTAATTCAATGAGACTCTTAAAAAAAGAAATTTATTATATTAAACATTCATTTAATAATACATATTTTGTGTTTGTTGTATGTATTTTTAATTCACTTTTTAAGTTAATATTTTGTAATGTGTCACCTATACCGTCGTATTTTAAATGGACTCCGTATTGGTTTAAAAATGATAATGTTTAAATGTAACTAGATTGGCAATAAAATATAGGTATGATACGCCTGGTGGTAAATGACCAACGTAAAATATGAACACTTGTAACACTAGAAGCGTCAGTTCCGGATTATTAGTCAAAATATACATCGATTGGGGGAAAGGGATTGCTAGTAATGAGGTCTAACAGCCCCATTGCTAGCAATATTACCCTCTCAGGTCGACCTCCACGCGGTTCCCCCTGGAAACTATCATGGTTAATTCTTGTCCAATTCATTATGGTGGACCGACTGACCTGCATTGATTCTCACCCATCATCTTCCACTGATGCCTCGTCGGTGTATATAGATAGCGCGGGCGGGGTTACCATTCCATTTTCACCTATTAAAAAAATATACATCGGTTAGTATTAGTTAATATACATAGTAACAAAGAATTAATAGTACACAAGTTATAAGCAATTATAGATTATTATTTTCATAATATAATAATCTACGAATTCTATAAACAAATATACCTACATATACTTTCTATGTTTTCAGATCTCAGTCTCACGAATAAAATTCCTGTTGGAAATATATAGAGTAATATTTATAATTTTATATTTAATACCGACCTACATTCGAACTACGTATTTCATGTATACTTTACAGGTCCTATTATTAACTTGTACCATTATTACATTTCAGCCACCACAAGCTATCGATCCCTGGGACGAGGTCCTCGTCGCTAAGAAAGAAAAAAGGCCCTGCATCCAATATAACATCAACGTAAAAAAGGGTCAACCCCTTGGTCATTATGGCGTAGAAGACTGCTTGTATCTCGACATATTTACTCCTAAATTAGACAAAAAGAAACGTGCAGTCATCGTTTTTCTTCATAATGAATATTTCACTTGTTCTTATAACAAAACAAAGGACTACGCGCCAGATTTTTTCATTGAAGAAGATATCATAATAGTAACGATCAGTCATAGATTATCTGTATTGGGGTTCCTTTCATTCGAAGACGATACGTTGCCGGGAAACGCGGGATTAAAAGATATTGTGGAAGCTTTGAAATGGATTGAAAAAAATATAGATCGTTTTGGCGGGAATCCCGAGAAAATAACGTTAATGGGATCACATGGTGGAGCTGCGGCAGTTGATTTGTTAATTCATTCGAACGCAAAGGACTTATTTCATTCCGCTATTATGCAAAGCGGCACCGCGTTATCCACCGCTTATTTGCAAAGTGAAGTGAAAGCGAGAGCATTTAAACTTGGCGAAATCTTAAAACTGAGCACTAGTAGCAGTCAGAAATTATTAGAATATTTGAGAAGTGTACCCGCCGAAGACCTTTTACATAGAAATGTCCACGCCAGTCCGAAAGATTATTATAGAGACAATCAAAGAGGTGTATTGTCTTTCGGCCCAATTGTTGAGACGCAAAAGGGTGGACTTATAACTGAATATCCGGAAAATTGTTTCACTACTATACAGATTCCTATTATGATTGGATTTAATTCTCGAGAGGGATTAGACATGTCTCTCCAATATCTTATAGAACCAAAATATCTTAGCTTTGTTGAAAAGGATTTCCCATTCATAATGCCAAAACGAGTGAATTTCAAATTCGATCCAGTACAAGAAGAATATTATAATGCCATCGACGATATAAAGAGGTTTTATTTTCCAAATAAAAAAGTTAAAATCAATAATATTCCAGAGTACTTGTCATATATAGGAGACGTACTTGCCGCTTATCCAATTGATAGTACAGTGAATATGTATGCCAATAAATCGTCTAATTCTATTTATTATTATTATTTTGACTATTATAGTGAATTGAATGAAAACAAAAATAATTTGATGAAGTTATCAACAGTTGAAGACGGTACATGGGGTGCTGCCACGGGCGACGAACTGTGCTACTTATTCAAATGTCCAAGTTTAAAGAAACAATATTTGAAATATAACAAATCATTGTCAAACGAAATAAATATTCAAAGAAAAATGGTTACAATGTGGTCTAACTTCGCAAAGTATGGGTAGGTAGCCGTGCTATTCCAAATAATTTTAAAATAGAATATTAAAGAGCCATGAATTCATTTGAAATTTATCATCTAAATCCGATATTGTGCCGCTTCAAATTTCTATAACGAAATACCTCAATATTGGATTAACGGTGGAAATTAATTCATTTATGTTTCAGTGATCCTACTCCGGAAGGTGATATTTTACTTGAAAATCTGAAATGGCCTTCTTACGATATGCATACAAAAACGTACCTACATATAAATGAAAAGATTGAACTTAAAACTGAACTATACAAAGAAAAATTTAATTTCTGGAAACAATTTATTAATACGTGGGAGAAAAGGGCTGTAAACGGGATAGTGAGTGGCACAAAAAATAAAAAAGATGAATTATGATATTATAAAGTTTACATTTATTAATACTTAAAAAAATAATATCACACTTATCACTCGTATTGCGTACTAAATGTTATTCTGTTGTTTCAAATAATACATATTATGAATATGAAACTTTTTAACGATGTTTGTATATCTGTTACTCAATCACGTTTAATCGACTTATTTGAATGATATTTGGTACAAAGATACACCATATACTATATTAATACATAGGATACTTTATATCATAATTTAAGCGAGCAAAGCTGCGGAAAATAATTCAATTTTCCTAATGTAATATCAAATGAAAATACATAATTAAAGATTGTATCCCATACAAAATAAAAACTTCAATTGTAACAAATCCGATTATTTTGGTCTAAAAATTAAACTACTGTACCAATTTTGATAAAATTTCTATTTAGTAAGTAAGTTTATTCTTTCTATAAAGAAATAATTTTCCATATCGGTTTAAAACTGATGGAGTTATGAGGCAATAAACATAAAATTTAGAAACTTCTTTTTAAAGTCGGTTGAAAATATGTATAATCCCTAATTTGTATGTACGTGTAATGTAGTGGTAATATTTAAAAAATCCGAATATACGTACATATAAAAAGAACATTGCCTTTTTTAGTACCGCAATAGAGTAAAGACAATGTTATTGTATTCCATTATTCTAATGCGTGCATGAGTAAATACTAGTAGTAGAGTGTTCTACGAGGAACCAAAATAATATTTTTACAGCGTAGCTCTTGTTTTGAATCTAGAGCGAAGCGAAGGATTTTAAAGTATAAAATAACATGAGTATAATTTGCCGTTGTAATATACTGATTTTAAAACGAATTAATACTCAATTTAATCATACCGGCGGATAAAATCATTAATTTGGTAAGAAAAAAAAATATTGTCCTAGTAATTTTTACTCGCAACTCCATCCGCGTGTTGTACCTATATAAAAACGAGAATGTTTGTTAACCGACTTAAAAGTAACATAATGTCATATCTATCCCAAATGCTACGTATATACCAAATTTTATGACAATTAGTTTAGTTGTTCAAGAGCAGTAAAGGTGTCGTAAAAGGTAATAAGCAAATGAACAAACAAACAAACGCACACATTATTATATTTAATATAATACAATTGTAACTAGACGATATCTATACATGGTAGTTATTTAAGAAAGAAAGAATATTTAGGAAAAAGCAATATGTGGAGTCTTAATAAAACCAATAGACACCAAAACAATAATATATTTTTATTAAATTGTGTCTGTCAAATTGACTGCAGTATATAGTTGTGTTCCTAAAAATCTAACTTCAAATCTGGTGTATTGTTTATCACAATACGCCATCAAGAAGTGGTATTTTTCATTGGTTACCACTTTTGAAATCTACCTGTACGAAGTACTAGGTACGTATAAAGCAAATTTGTAATATTAGTAAAAATTTTATAAATACAATCCACAGTTAATTCAATTCAATGTACTTATTTCATTTTTTATTAAAAAGTGTGTATTCCATATTTATTCCCAACTTTGTTTCGAGTTTTAAGAAAGATATGTGTCATTCGATTAAATATATATTTTGTGTTAGGACAACAATTGTCTTACCGAGCCATATCAGTTGTACCAGAGTAACCTACATATAATCGAAGATTATAAATTTCATTAATAACTAGATTAACACGCTACTGTTATCATTCAATCCTTGCTATAGATAAAATTAAATACAATAGATAGCTTGTACACCCGATAATATGTATGTTAGGACACGTCAGTTATGAAGTAATACAAAATGAAATAGCCGCAAACGTTTTCAATTAAAACTTATTTGTTTAAAATGATAGGTGCTTTATTTACTGTATTCTTGTTTTGTATAACTTCTCTAAATATATGTTATGGAGATGTGATAGTAGAAACTAATTCTGGCAAAATAAATGGTGTAGAAGTGAAATCGATAATAGAAAATGAAAAATATTACTCATTCATGGGTATACCATATGCAGAACCGCCTATTGGTGATCTTAGATTTATGGTAAGATTACATTTAATGTATCTTTTTTATAATTATCAAAGTCAGTTTAATATAATTAATAATTATATCAATACTAGTTTTTATCCACGACTTCGTCCGGAATATGTTGATTGATTTGAATAAAAAGTAGCTTATCTCCTTCTCCATCTCAAGTTCACAAATATTATAGCAAATTTCATGTTGGTTAGTAGAGCCGTGAGTCATTCCATGAGCTGTTGCCATTCCTGAGTCCTCAGGAATAGCAACGCATGAGGGGTATCATGGGCGAAAGAGTATACTCTGTTATGTCTATGGTACTGCTCATGTCTATAGGCGACGGTTACCACTTTCCATCAGGTGGACCGTCAGCTTATTTGCCATTCTAAGTTGTATAAAAAAAGCTGTTACTGTACTAAGAGGTAACAAACAAACTCACTTTAACAAATTAAAATTTTGGTGGCATAATTTAACTAAGAAATATATGAAAAATATATAAACTGATATTAATAATTAAATTTTACATTTAAAATTTTGCTCGTCTTCTCACCGTGCTATGCCTATAGATAAATGAATATAAATGAGCAAAAAATTTGAACTAAATTTTTCAATAGCTTGCTATTGCTATAATTATTGTACATATAATAATTATTATATTTTCAGCCACCAATCCCTCACAGTGGGTGGAGCGACATCTTACCAGCAAAAAAGGAAAAGAAGCCGTGTGCTCAGAATCGTGTACCAATTAGAGGCACAAAAAAATTTGGATACTGCGGTGACGAAGACTGTCTTCATTTGAGTATCCACACGCCAAAACTCCCCAATGAAGGCGACCTTAATCTTCCAGTAATAGTATTTATACATAATGAACACTACAGAATGTCATCTAACAATTCAATTGATTATGGTCCCGACTTTTTTATGAGTGAAAACGTTGTTTTAGTAATGGTCAACCACCGACTTGGAGTATTTGGTTTCTTATCTTTTGCAGACGAACTTCTACCTGGCAACAATGGTTTAAGAGACGTTATTCTAGCTCTTAAATGGATCAAAATAAATATAGAAAAGTTTGGAGGTGATCCAAATAAAGTTACATTAATGGGAAGTGACGGTGGAGCTGTTCTAGTTGATATATTACTACATTCTCCAAAAGCCAAAGGATTATACAATGCTGCCATTCTACAAAGTGGAAACTTGTGGAACTCCATGAGTATTGTTAACAAAACCCGAGAAAGGGCTATAGATTATGCTAAAGAACTGAAAGAAGAAGTTACAAGCAGTTCATATTTATTAAAACGATTGCACACAAAATCTCCTATAGATCTGACTCTAGCTGAGGAAACTTCTGTGCATGCTGACGACTCACGTGCTGTCCAAGTTGGTATACTTCCATTTGGACCAATAATTGAACACGAACATCCTGATGCTATTTTCACCAAGATTCCAGAAACTCCTTTTGATATGAATGTTCCTGTAATGATTGGCTATAATTCCAGAGAAGGTATTGAGGTGACCGAACGTTATTTACATAAACCTCAATACCTCACATTTGCTGATAGAGATTTCCTTGTCCTCTTACCGATCAGAACCAATTTTCATTTCGATATTCACAGCTCTGCATATGCTAATGCCATTGAAGAAATAAAAAATTTCTATTTTGAAGAAGGTTATATAAAAATTAATAAGCCTGGGGAGTTTGTAACATATATCGGAGATATTATGTCATTTTATCCCATAAACTATGGTGTGAGAAAATACGTCAATGAATCAAGTTATCCTGTTTATTATTATATGTTTGATTATAGTGGAGAATTTAATAAAAGAAAGAAGAATGTTTTATCTAAATCTAAAACTATAGATGGCACATGGGGTGCAACTATGGGAGATGATCTTTGCTATTTATTTGTTTGTAAATCTATCAAAAAATCATACAAGAAAGCTATTCAAGATGATGATTCTGAAGATATGAAAATAGTAAAAAATATGGTAAAAATGTGGTCCAACTTTGCCAGAACAGGGTAAAATTTTTTTAATTAAAAATCTTATTTTAGTAACTTATAATATTAAAACTGCTTTCTTAGTGCAGTAGTAAGCACATCACTTGATGTAAACATATTGTACTATAAAACTAATACAAATAAAAAGTTGGCTATAAGGAAATATCCTATACTGTAAAACTGTGTAAAAAAATTAAATCTAGTTAGAGCCAAAAACTTCTCTAAATATAATGAGATCCAATTCTATTATATAAATTATATTCTAAAAGTTTATAGGCATTAAGTAAATGACACATATTATATACACTATTTATAATATAGTTTTGTAACATAGATTAATTTTTTTTATAGAAATCCAACACCACCTGGAGATCAATTTATATGGAAACCAGCCTCTAAGGACAAAAAAGAATGTCTAGTCATAAATGAAGAACTGCAGATTAAAAATAATCTACATCAAGAAACAGTAGACTTTTGGGACAACTTCATAGAAAAATATAGAGAAAAAGCTATTGATGGTGTTGTTAAAGATATAAAAGATGAACTTTAAATCAAAACACGTTATGATTATTTAAACTCTCATTATGTATTTGTAATAAAAAAAATTAAAATGGAGACATAAATTTTATTTTAAAATATCCTTAATATAGAACTACAAAAAGTTCTGATTACATTAGGTTTAAAAATGTTAACACTTCTGATTGTAATCCAGGCAGGAATATCTACCAGTTACGCTAACCCCCTTATTCATAAAAACAAAAAGCTACTACAAATCTATTTTAGCTATTGAAATTGTTTTGTCACTTGCTTTCAAATTAAGAATGTAGCGTTAAAAAAGAGACAAAAACAGTTTTACAATATGGCCAAAATAGGTTTATGAGATCTTTGACGTTTTTATGAATAAGAGCATAAGTGTATATTTTTTTGTGCAAATTGGAATGATAAATAAACTGAAGGTTCTGGTGGAAAATGGTAACCGTAGTTTGTAAAAAAAATAACAACACAATGGATATCTTAAAATTCTGTGTCATCCATGACACCTCATATACGAGTACATTGCTATTTTTGAAGACTAAGGTGTTATGACTCTATTCACTTCTCAAACCAAAACAAAGGGGAACAATAATATCCATTACTATCCAGAAAAATAACCTTTATAAATTAAAAATTACATATTTTGAATATAAAGATTTTAAAACTAAAAATTATTTAGATACATTTTAAAGATTACCTACAAGTAATGTCTAAAGAATTTCCATAAGAGTAAATCATTTTATTCTTATAGCATTACCTTATGCAACAAAAGTGGATTACTAAAAAACCCATTTAAACCGATAATAAACCAAAATCTAATTACTAAGCCTTATCAGGAGTAGATAACTTATATACACGTCCATATTTTTTCTTATCACTACCACTTCTTCAGTTGTCAATAATCAGTGAAGACAACGATGTTTGTGCATGAATAAAATAAATTCTTACTTAATATTAGATATAACATTATTAGAATAACATAAAATGTTTAATAAAGTTTATTTTATCGCATTCTGGCTAGTATTAGTTATATTAACTAAAACATTAGCTAATGAAACCGTAGTGATTGAATTGCAACAACGTAAGTTATCAGGAAAAGTGGAGAAAACTTTTTTTAATAAACAAGATTACTTTTCATTCAAAGGCATACCGTATGCCACACCACCTATTGGCAAATTAAGATTTAAGGTGAGTCATAATATTTCAGAATTATATTAAATGCTTATATAGTATATATAACTAGATTTTGTGTACGTATTTTATTATTTTTACTGTATAAACATTTATAATATATATATATATATATATATATATATATATATATATATATATATATATATATATATATATATATATATATATATATATATATATATATATATATTAATATATAATAGACTCCAAGTCCAAGTTATGAAATAATAATTAATTTTTTGTAAATATTTTTAGCCACCTACGCCATACGAAGGTTGGGAAGGAACATATAAAGCTTACGAAAATAAACCAACATGTTTACAATATAGCTCTAGAATGCGAATGGGAGAACCCTTCGGAATATCTGGTGATGAGGATTGTCTTTACCTCAGCGTTTTCACTCCGGACCTTCGAGGCTCTAAAGCTGTCGTTGTTTTTGATTACAGTGATAATTTTAGAAGCGGTTTTAATGGAACTGATACGTATTCTCCGTTATTTTTCATGGAGGAAGATGTTATTGTTGTTACTATTAATCATCGTTTCGGTCTAATGGGATACTTATCAACTGAAGACGAAGTTATACCCGGTAATAACGGTATAAGAGATTTTATTCTTGGATTACAATGGATAAAAGACAACATTGAACATTTTGGTGGCGACCCAAAACGTATAACATTAATGGGTAATCGAGGAGGTGCAATATTAGCAAATATATTGATGTATAGTGAACAAGCAAAAGACCTCTTTCACGGTATTATCATGCAAAGTGGCACTGCGATGGAAAGTATAATTTTTGGCCAGGATTCAAAAGGACTCGCGTTTAAACTTGCACAACTTGTAAATATAACAGCTGAAGATAGCGCCACGTTACTGGAAGAGTTCCAAAAAATAGACGTCTACAAGTTATTAGCAAAAGAAGCAGATGCTATAAGCAATGATTTAATGGAAAACCATCAGATTAGCTCCATTCCACTTTCACCCATTATCGAAAAAGAAAGCCAAAGTGCAGTATTATCATCATTTCCGATGTCAAGTAAAATTATTAACGATGTGCCTGTTTTACTGGGGTTCAATTCTAGAGAAGGCCTTGATTTAGCATCACACTACATTTTTGAACCTCGTTTAATAACAGATCTGGGGCAAGACTTTTTCTTTCAATTTCCAATAAGATCGGGATTCAGGTTTGATCGTAAGAGTTCCGTATTTGAAGAAGCTATTAAAGAAATTAAGGATTTCTATTTTGAAGACGGTTACTTGCATTACAATAATATTTTGGAATACGCTGTATATGTAGGCGATGTGTTGCAAGACTTCGCCATAAATTATGCAGCCAGGAAATTAACCACTGAACTCCAATCCAATGTATTTTATTACATGTTCGATTTTTGTGGTCTATTGAATGAAAATACGTTGTATATATCTAACCATGCTAGATCAACCACAGAAAATTGGGGTGCTACAATTACTGATGAAATATGTTACTTACATATGTGTTCTCGGATCAGCAAAAATTATGAGGATTTAAACAAACTAATAAGCGAACAACCGGAAATTAAAGTGTTAAAAAAAATGGTCCGTATGTGGACGAACTTTGCCAAAACGGGGTGAGTATTATTATTTTTAAACAAATACTAGAGAATATAACCTCTGACGTGGTAATCAGCAGCATGTGTACTATTACCGTTGTGGGGAACGTAACTGAACATGTGAATGTGATCTGAACACACTTTGTTGAGCATATTAAAATTTAGAAAACAATGCGGCTGGGGAGTCATCCCCAAGATCATTATCAAGATAACTTGATATTATCAATCGGATTAATTTGATTTATTAACGATAGTTTTCGAGTCCAGGAAAGTCAAGGGAGTTTTGAAAATTTAAATTTTGATGTCAACTAGATTCGAGCTATCTTTTGAGTATATAGACCTAAAAAATAATTATAGTGTTAGTATTATATTGCCCTACCTCAACTTATAAGTCAAGATAGAGTTGTATAACACTAGACCCTCTTTTCAAGCGAGTTCGAAAAGCACGAGATTCTCAATTCGGTTATATATTTTTCTAATGTTTGTTACTTCATAACTCGGTCAATTCCAAACCGATTTAAAAATTTCTTTTTATTATCTGAAGGGATAAGTTAAGTCCCATATAAATTTTATTAAAATCGGTTCAGTAATTTAATAGTAATTTTTAAATCAAAATAACTGGTTTTATCACAATTAAAGTCAATTTTATTCTGTGAAACACAATCTTTATTTAGATAGGACACAATTGTCTTTCTACATACCTATATGCAATAGAGACATTAAGTATAACCTTACTTTATTACCAAATATCATGAACCGATCTGAAAAAGAAACTAGATATGACCATACTTTCAAATTTTCTTCAGCTTATTGACTAATCACACTATATTATGAATCTTATTTTGGATGATTGACGTTCTACTTATTTATTGCAATAACTGAACGGCGAAAACTAGGCAAAAATGAATAAAATTCTCATGTTAGGAATATTGTTTTATATATATATGTAGTATCTGAAATTGTGTGTATATTGTTAATTACGAAATAATTGGTTTATTCTTTAAGATTTTTTATTATATTAATAAATCTAAGAAGTCTTTTCAAATAATAATATATATTTAATTAGTTGAAAAATAAAAGCTTATTCTATAAATTAGATATTTTTAACTTATAAATGTCAATAAATGTTGTTTTTATTCGCAACATAAAAGATCTTTTCGCTGTATTTAACGACTTACATTAGAAAATTGGAACTACTTCGGTCGGTTTTTCGTCTTAATTCTATATAAACACATTTAATCTCCTATAATTCCAGTAATCCAACTCCGTCTGCAGAAGACAAATTGTTAAAAGGTTTTATTTGGAATCCTGTGGACAAAAAAGACAATGATCTGAACTATTTGCACATCAATAAAGGTCTGCGCATGAAAAAGAATCCTCTTGGTGAACGAGAACATTTCTGGGATCAATTTCTGAGGAAATACTCTCAAATGGCAATTAACGGTTTAGTACAACCTGCTTCAGAACTCCGAGAAGATTTATAAATTGTTTCAGGAGATACTGTTTAAAGATCGAATGCTTTTTTTTATATAATAATAATCAGAGAATAAGCCGATGGTTTTCAAATTAAGTGTATTTTTTTATTCACCTACGATAACTTCAACATTTCCTAACTGATTGGAATAATTCTTCTTTCAAACAGTGTTATACTAAAGTGAAGTTCTTTTTTTAGTTAGTGTTATATCACCACTCGTTATTAATTCCAAGATATAAAAGGAGATTAGGGGAACCATAGGTACTATTGCAAGGCTTGAAAAACTCGAAATAAAACTTTCTAGCAAACTGCTTGATCAGGTATTAAAACTATTCTAATAACGATGCTTCTCTTGTAGAGAGACCTGCGGCCTCTTCTGAGTTATAATGGATCGTTATAGTAGAACATACTAGAAGAACATATTACATTATATTAATACTCGATAACTATAGATACTACTGCATATTTAAGCTAAGCTCTCTAGTGTCAAAAATTTTAAGGTGTCCTTCGTTTGATATAAATTGGTATCAGAATATGCTAAAATCTTATTTTCTCCGGACCGTAACCAAAACTTGTTTATTTGTCTGTAGTTATTTATCGTTATTTGACCAACCTTATAATTAATGTAGCTTTTTAAAATAAATTGATATTTTTAATCAAAAAAATTAGAACAATTTCTTAAAATTAATTATTTAGTAAAACATTTACTGTGACAACCTTCATGGCACAAAAGTGGATACGTTGCTTTGTATATAATAAATTAGGTTCCGAGTTCGATCTATTCCCTGTTGGGACAATTTAGAAATTCAGACAACTTTTTTAAATTAACTCGAGTCTGGGTATACTGTTGCATTACTAACAATCTCATAGGTTGCCATTCCTGAAGACTGTATTATGTCTCTGTATCATGTAATTTCATTGCCATAGCCCACCCTTCAAATCGAAACACAGTTATTAAAAAACACAACTGCTTCATGACAGAAACACGAATGAGACAGAGGTTTCCAAGCAGAAGACTTTTATACAAAATTTCCTTCTGGTATTTAATTTGTAGTCTACCTAATTTGAGTAACTATACACTTTATAATAGTGTGAAGCAGTCAAACAATGACTTAATTATTTATACGTGATAAATAATTAAGTCATTGTTTGACTGAAGTTCGTTGAATATGACACTGAGGGAGCACCTTGCGGTTGTGTGGACTTAGGAGTTTATGTTTATCAAAACCTATAAACATAGTTTGGACTTCTGACAGTATCTAGAACTACCTAGTAAAGTTGTGATGGATCGTGTTGCAAACAAAGTGTTTGTACCTATCTGTATTACTTTCCTGGCTCTCTTAAATAGAAGTGCATAGTAAATAGTACTATACGCGTGAAGTGGAAATCGTTAAACTACCAACGAAATCGGATATTTTGCTAAAGAATCAAGAATCGAAAAAGAACAAAAAAAATATAAGTCTCCCTATACGAGTATTACTTATAATAATAATATTTCCTAAGTTAACAAGGACGTACCATGTTATGAGTAATATAGTAACTCAATATATATACTTACTTACACACACACGCACACACAAACACACACACACATTTACGCACACACACTTTTATTTTGTTTTTTTTTTTTTGTTTGTAAGTTAACATGTAGGCTACTGTATTTAAAATTATATATATTGTTTTTAATTATTGTAGTTTATTAGTACTGTAGTTGGTTGCTAAATATAACAAAATGTCTTCATTGATATATTGATATATTGATAGCTACCATAAATGTCTGTTTTGGAATCCTGCAATGAGGAGGAGGGCGTTGATATTCGCAACACAGTTTTATACTTCTGCGGATATCATCGTTTTTCAATAATATTGTATCCACTGTTTTTGTTCCAAATAAAGAATTATTATTATTATTATATTATCAAATAATATCAATTTTTCAATATTAAAAAAATCTATTTATATACTATTGGTAGATTTTGGCAAGATATGAGAGTTTAATTGGCTATACTAGTGACATCTACTGGCATCTGTAGTAAAACCACGCCAACCAGAGTAAACAGCGTAAGTTCCACTAGTGAAACACAGATGGTAATAAATAACATAATATAATCAGAAATCAGTCTCAATAGTACCTTTATATATTCGCAAGAGGCCCCTCTTATAAAAATATATATATTGCATCTGTTTTAGAGCAAATTACATGGGATAGTAATATATTATCTGTGACCTGCGTAATCCAAACTTGATCAATACTCGTGTGTGACAGCGACAAATAAAAAAAAATTACTTACAACGTCTCACAGCATTAAATAAAAGATATATAAAAACTTAGAACCGGGAATAGATATCACGAGATTCACAGATATCTCACATTAATATACAAAAACCCAAAAACACACATTTTCATACTAAAGTTACACTTAAAAGTGTACCAAGTGTGTCATTTGCTTGGATACCTCTGCCCCATTCGTGTTTCAACTGTAAAGCAGTTGGGTTTACATGGCTGTGTTTCGGTTTGAAGGGTGGGATATGGCGTGAATTTACAAGGTACAGAGGATAACACCTGAGTCCTCGGGAATGGCAACGCATGTCATATCATGGGCGAAACAGTATACTCTGTTATATCCATGGTACTGCTTATGTCTATAGGCGACGGTTACCACTCTCCATCAGGTGGGCCGTCAACTTGTTTGCCATTCTAAGTTGTATAAAAAAAATATATATTACTAAAATAAACAAATATTACAAAACATGAGTGGACTCTAATACAAACCCGTAAATAAGAAACCATCATGTCTAGACGTTATAGGTTTTTTATAATAAGAATATGTAGGTACTAGTTTTTACCCGCGAGATCGTCCGCGTGACCAGGGTATGTTTACTGCCCAGGATAAAAAGTAGCTTATATCCTTTTCCATTCCATATAGTGCGTTTATACAAAATTTTATAGTTTTTTTTTTAACGCGGAGGGCAAACGAGCTCACCTGATGATAAGTGACTACTACCGCCCATGATCACCCACAACATCGACGGCATTGCAGCTGTGCTGCCGACCTTTTAATAAGGAATATGCTCTTTTCTTGAAGGTTATAATGTCGTATCGGTTCAGAAATAATGCTGCTGGAAATTGATTCCAAAGAGTGGTTGTGATTAATAGAAACGTTAAAAAATGATTGTTTATAAAAAACAAACAAGCTCATTTTCATGTTTATTTTATTAGTAACTAGCGGCCCGTCCCGGCTTCGCACCGGTAAACATTTTTAAAACGTTTTAAAAAGTGATTATTGTGACATAACGATAACAGTTGGACATATAGTATCGCGAAAGTTTTTGTATTTATTGATATTTTCTTCAATATTATAGAACATACTTTTGTTCAACCACCAATAGTTTCCGCAGCGCACGCGACGCAAGATATTTTATAGCATTTTTTACACCTTGAGTTACGTTACTAAAGTTTTAGTAAGGATCCTTAATCTTTTCTATTAATAAATACTTTATTACTCAGGGAGAATGTAGCTTTCTAATTCACCCTGAGTAACAAAGGAAATTAAGAATTCCAAATTCAAATTTATAAATTAATTTAGCTGGTACATTTGAGTTTTGAAAACAGTCATTTATTTGTTTTTTCCTCATTATATTTTTTTCCTTGGCGTCGCTTATTACCGCACAATGAAAAACATGATACATATCGGTATATTTACGAGCACGAGTTCTACCGGGTTTTCAGTGCTGCAGAAACAGCTCGAAAGATTAATAATGTGTACGGCGCTGGTATTGCAAAAGAAAGCACGGTATGTTTTTGATTTCAACGTTTTCGTACTAGAAATTTCGACCTTCAGAATCAACCCCGTGGACAGCCGGAGATCAAAATGGAAAATGAAGAATTAAAGGCTATTGTGGAAGCGGATCCATCACAAAACCCTTCATAGATAACTGCAGACTTCGGGGTAAGTGATAAAACTGTATTAATCCACTTGAAGCAAATAGGGAAAGTAAAAAAACTTGAACGATGGATAACTTATGAATTGAGTAAATCGAACTTGCAAACACGCGTCGACTGCTATGTTACTTTGCTCAACCGGACACAATAATGAAGGGATTTTAAATCGAATCATTACTTATGATGAAAAGTGAATACTGTACGATAATCGGAAGCGCTCGTCGTCGTTCAATGGCTGAACTCTGATGACCCAGCAAAATCTAACGAAAACTGACTCAGAAAAAGTTACTTGTAAGTGTTCGGTGGACTAGCGCCGGTGTCGTTCACTACAGCTTTCTAAAATCTGGCCAAACGATTACGGCAGATATCTATTGTCAGCAACTGCAAACCATGAAGGAAGAACTAGCTGCTAAACCGATCAATTGTGTCATTACGCAAATGTGAAAACGACTCATGGCTTAACATAGATATAAATTTGATTATGTATAGACTGTAATTCAGCTGTACGTTTTCCAAAAAATAAATAAATAAATAAACAACCGAGATTGGTCAATCACTCTAGGCCACTGCTGCTTCACGACAACGCAAGACCACACACTGCACAACAAACAACCAATAAGTTAGATGAGCTACAATTAGAACGTCTGCAATGTCTACCGTACTCCCCGGACCTTCTCCAACAGATTACCATTTTTTCCGGAATTTGGAAAACTTCTTACAAGGAAAAAAATTAAACTCCAATGCGGCAGTCCAATTCGGCTTCAAAGAGTTTATTGTTTTTTTTTTATACAACTTCGAATGGCAAACAAGCTGACGGCCCACCTGATGGAAAGTAGTAACTCTCGCCTATAGACATGAGCAGTACCATGGACATAACAGAGTATACTGTTTCGCCCATGATACCCCCCATGCGTTGCCATTCCTGAGGACTCAGGTGTTATTCCTCTGTACCCAGTAAATTCACGCCATATCCCACCCTTCAAACCGAAACACAGCCATGCAAACACAACTGCTTCCTAGTTGAAACACGAATGGGACAGAGGTACCTAAGCAATCGACTTTTGTACAAAGTCTCCCTCTGGTGATTCTCGACCCCATAGTTTTTTTAGTAAAGAGATCAATGAACTACCTATGAAATGGAAAAAGTGCATAG